TATTTCCTGCTGAAGTAGTCTACACAAACAGTGGGATTCTGGTTATAATTCTTATTAAAATTTAGAGAGATTTTCGGGACCAATTATCGATGTATTAAAAGTAAATATTAATTATATTTAAGTATAAATTACGTATTTTAATAATTAACAAGTTAAATTTTAATTTGTATTATTTACTTAACGAGAAATAATGTTATGTTGTTTAAAATTGTGAAGTGGTCTTAGAATAATACCAAATTCAATAACGACTCGTAAAATTATAGAAAAGTATAAAGGAAACAATGATGAATCTGCTGATTAAATACAGGTGAAATTACTAGGTTACATAAAATAATACAAAGGAAATTTTTTCATTTGAATTTTATGAAAAGAACTTTTTATTCATCCAAGTTAATTTGTCCTTGATAAGAAGGAAATACATGGAACTTGCTTAATAATCATAAACGAATTTTAAAACTGTTTTTAAATATTACTTTTCATACATTGGTACCAGTCGATCCCCCTATAACACTGTTGATTATTCCGTTTTATATGAATTCCATATTGTACGAGTCACTTAGATTTTACAAATACGTGTGCCAGGCTGTGAACGGCTTATTTGTAAAATCTTACGTATTTGTAAAATCTAAGTGACTCGTACAACATGGAATACATATAAAACGGAATTTTCAACAGTGTTATAGGGGGGTCGACTTGTATTGTATGTTGTAACAGAAAAACTTAAAAACACATTCATCGCTGGGAAAAATAACTATGTTTCTACTTTAATCACCTTTACTTTATTTTCCTTATCTTTATTTGTTTTTTTCTCTCTCTCTTCTTTTTTTCTCTAAGAGAATTTCTTTCTAATTATTCGTTTCTTCATTTAAATCTAAACAACGTTAATAAATTGTCATCTCTACATTTAAATTTACACGTTGTCTCGTGTATCAGAATTTTACAATTACTGAGAAAAAAATAACTTAAAATCACTAGGGAGGCTTCATCCAATTATTCAAAAATTTCGTGACGATTAATCGATTCTCGGCCCATCAGTGGCCGAATGGATAAAACCACTGACCATTGATTGACCCCGTTGGTAGTTGGTTTTGGTTTCTCGCCTGGCCAACGGCTTGCCACGTGGAGTTTTTCGGGTTGTCTTCACGTTTGTATCACCTAAATAGGAGCAAATTTCCTACAAAGGACCTTCTAGGAGGTATTTTTCCTTGGAAAATGGCCTATTTGTCTCATTTCCCTGAAAAATTTTGTTTATTCCTACAAGATTATACCTCGGACTTCATGCGTAAGTCGTTTACGCATGAAGTCCGATGTAAAATCTTGTAGGAAAGCATTTCTGTAGTGATCAAAAAGATTTTATGATATAATGAAATGTTTTTATGGAACATTATGCAGAAAAGAGACGACTTATTTCATATATTAAAGGAAAGATTTCAGTAAATTGAAGACAAAAGTATCGTCGCGTTTTATCAAAAATACTCCATTTTGTTTTTGTTGTATTTTATCTAGCATAATATGTTTTATATACTATTATACTTCACTCGATACTATAAATAAATATGAGAACACAGAATGGGAAGAGTACAGATAAGACTGAAGTGCTAATGTGTTATAGTCTCCTCAACCTCGCGCACGGCACACCTAGATACTTTCCAGAATTCCGTGGCAAACCACGACTAAAAATATACAAAATATTTAGGAGTTACAAAGTACATACAAAAATACTGATTTACTACTTTTAAAATAGTAAAAAATGTTTCAAATTAGCTTATCATAGAGCGAGTTCAGCCACACGTCTAGTGTTTATATGCCAAATTTAACCCTGCAAGTTTTTTGCAAATCTCCACGTTTTGTGACCTTTTGTCTATTAGTGTAAATAGATAATAGAATGTTTGCGTCTCTCTTTTCTTAGCTTTTTGCTCGATCTGCACCAAATTTTTCATATATATTCTCTAAGTCACTAAGGAAAGTATAGACTACCACGTATACCTTGACACCTGCCCCCACCCCTGATTTGACCATTGTTTGAGCTGAACAAACCTTAATCGACTCTGATTTTAGGGTTTGGATAATAATACAGAGCAAAAGTATAAGTATAAATGTAAGGAAAACCTGGCAGTTATTGAAATATAAAAATATTGTTAAAGTTATTTTGTATATTTCTCATTAATTAATTAATTTATTGCCAATGAAATACACAAGAGATTATAGCAAGAATCTACAAGAAACACAATTGTCGTCGATGATTTTCGTTACTTTGTAAGCAAACTCTTCCAAGTGATACTTCGTAGAGAAGTAGATGGAATGTTTTGGTTTTTAAGAGCTACATCAACAACGATGTCACGGCTCGTGATATCACTCTTGATATAGTTCTTAAAAAAAGAAAATTCTGTTAAAATTTAAAATGATATTAAAATTTGATAATTATTTCTTTTTATAAATATTATTTCTATTTATAACGAAGGAAGGAATGAACATCAGAGTTCGTCAAATAAGAACCGTCACATGCTATATTATTTGACGTTATGTCGAAAGCTACGACATCGATTTGTTTGCGCCGGGCTTACCACTTAAGTACAGGCCAGTTTCTCATAGAAAGTCCTCCCGGGAGACACCACCCACTTGACAGTTCATCCATGTGTAACACTGCCTTATGTCAACAATCCAATCGTTAAGCTTTTTTTAGTGGAAAATGATATAAAATTGTACAAAAAGAAATAATTCAAGTTTGTTAATTTTTAAAACCTCTAAAATGGCATCAACTTTTCCATTTGCGAACTGAACAAACCGATAAATTCGCCAATGTTCTTGTTCTTGTTCTTGTAGATTGTGGTTCATATGGCGTTTCGTGGCTATTCGCCTTTTACTCAATTCGCCAATGTATTTTGATATGATTAAAACAAATTATTTACGATCGTTTGTATTCCCGTGTAATTTGTTGTTAAAATATAAAAAGAATATATATGTGTCACCAGTCTCACCACCAGGAATTTCAGCAAAAGGTTTAAACAAAAGGCACTGTACTATGGCACTATCCAGAGTGGCACAAACAGAGGGTTCGGTTGTTGAATGGAATGAGGCTAGGATTGTTAGACCAGTGCTCTCACCGTCTATAGAAATGACTTTGAAAAAGTTTGAAATATATAGATCCAGTCTTACTGGCAAACGTTTAAACCACAAAGATGCCATAGGAATTACATGTGGCATCTTTGTGGAATGCATCGGCACGGAAATATATGATCAAAAATAACGCAGTAAAGTATAATACATAACGCGCACTCTGTCCATATAATTATGAACATTGTGTTGGTATATTTGTATTTTATTTCATTCCATGTATTTTAATTTGTTCAATTTAACATATTTATAGTATTTGTTACATTTTTAATATATTTGATATTTCAACGAGATGTTCGAAACAGTTATAAAAAATTTGAATTTCTTTTCAAATAATCGTTCGAACCTGAAACCAATACGAAAAAACGTTTCAGAGAATTCAAAATACCTGACGATGGCCTATAGATCATATTGAAAACGTTTGTAAAACAATAAATATCGGTTCTCGGAGACATAAGGTGTTGCGTGTTATAGTATAAAAAGAAGTTATTACGAACAGCAACTGTAAAGAATCTTCATAAATACGAAAACTCTCGTGTATATTTCCTTCGTTGTAAATAAAAACAATATTTATAAATAATAATTATCAAATTTTAATATCATTTTAAATCTAAACAGAATTTTTTCTTATAATTTCACTCAAATTAAATGCTTTTACATTAAAATTATTCATTCGAATAAATCATGTTAAATCCTTCCGATTCTTCTTCTAGTCTTCTTACATGATAATGGTGAAAACTATTTCGATATTTTTACAGCACATTCGGCACAGATGGATGATTTCCCATCCTTATTTTTTCTCATTCGCTTTAAAGATTTTGTATCCGAAATTTTCTTGTGACAATGTGCACAGCGGATGCTTTTCTTGGTGGCAGACGTTTTCTCGTTCCCTCGACATTTATTCCAGTGGTCACGTAATTTTGATAGAAGCATCGGTTTTTCACATGAATTACACTTGCCGAATTGAGTAGAAATAATTTCTTCGATGTCACCTCGCTGTGTAATTATGGATATGGCAGATCGGCATAAAGGGCACCGGCCATTAGTAATCTTACTGATACACCAGTTGCAAAATATATGGCCACATGCGATAGAATACGGTTCGATATAAATATCCCAACATACCGAACATGTGACTGTAGAAACGTCTACTATTTCTTTCTCGGCCATTTTGATGGATGGATGGGCGTGATTCTACTCTTCAAAAATTAATAAAATAATCTGATTATCCTCAAACGAAAAAGAAATCGAACACAATTAATTTTCGAACTTTCGGCGTTCGAACGGACTTTTTCAAATTATCCAAGGCACGCGGATGGAATAAAGAACAAATTGAAATATCTTGGAAAAAATATAGAAGTACGCAGTAATTGAAGTCATAGTCCCAAAAATCTTAACAACCAATTTAATAAGCAATATGACCGGAGGGTCGGCACCTCTTTGATGATTTTTCAGGACTGACACCACCGTGTCTTGGTCGACACGGCAGCCGCGACGGCGAGTTTAGTTTAGGTTAAAAAGTAGGTCACGCGATCGGGTTTCTGATGGAGACTTAGAGACAGCCCGACGGAAGTAAAGTTAACAACTAAATAACCGTTTAATTTCAACGAAAAGGAGTACATGATGCAATACAGTATATCGACTTAACCTATCTATCTAGTAATCGCGAGAGAGAGAGAGAGAGAGAGAGTTTACAATTGTTCGCGAGTCGGGAAATACTGCGTTGATGGTGATGCTTCTTGAGGAATTTCGTGAGGACTGGTTGTCCCAACTCTTCTTCGTCAAGCACTGTGATTTAAGAACTCTGTACCAACAACTGGATAAAATAAGATATATAGGTAACAAAAAAGCACGTGATGTCAGAAAAAAATTGAACAATAAGATTTATTGGTTACAGAAAACATCCCGCCGTATACAAAACACAACTACGGAGGTTCCATGTTATAACTTCGCCAATGCGAAGGTACCAGAGAATGTTTATCATATACTGTACTATTACGAGGGCCGAAGCATGTCTTCGGCCCTCGTAATAGTATATGATGAACCAAGTGGCGTGCTGTGACATTTGATGATAGGAAGCTGTGTTTCTGTAAGAAGCCATCTTTCAGGGGCAATCAGTTGCGCGTCAGTGATGGTCTAGGGTCCATTCTTTACTCAGATAGCCATTCGGCGCTTCAGGCCATAGAAATGAGTTGGTACAGGAGATCAGAGGTAGGGTAATAAGGGCGAGGCACGAACGACACGTTGGTCTGAGGCCACATCAGGATCCTGGGTAAGGAACGTGCCGACCAATTGGCCAAGGCGGAGGCCAAGGGTCTATTTGTAACGAGGACAGTGAAACCTTCGACTACATACATAAAAGGTACTCTACTGCAACGATCGATGACATACTGGCAAGCGCGCTGGACTCAAAGTACAGTAGGTAGGTCAACCTACGCCTTAGTGCCTGAAGTTGGCCTTACTCAGGTGTGTTGTAACTGGTTGACGACGCAAGTACTGATCGGACACGGAAGGTTTTCCCATTTCAAGTCCAAGTTTGGACAAGGAGAATGTAGCTACTACTGTGAGTGTTCTCGCGGCGACGTGAGGCACTATGTACACTTGACTGTCCTCTTACTGAGGATTTCCGCCGAAGGGCTGACCAAGTCGACTGGTCTAAGCCGCCTAAACAGGTACTTCGAACGCTAGCAGCTAGTAAAGAAAACTTAAAAAAACTAAAGGAATTGATTGAAAAAATCATAAATCTTCTCGATCTATGACTTTTTCCATCAATTCCTTAGTGGACGCATCAATAGCTTAGTGAACGCACTAGGATGGGTCCCCCTTCTTGTAGGGGCTGGGACTCCGCTGCCCATTCAATTGTGAGCTTTTGTGAGCTAAGTACTAAGGGAAAAAGTTATTAATAAGTGCAGAACAGGCTGCACAATAAAAAGTTATGCTAAGTTAGAGGTTGGACCGGGAAAGCGGATGGGAGCCCGAAAGAAGTCCTCTTTGGTCCAACTATAATGTCCAGTATACCCATTAGGTATCAGACCATGACTAATGATTAAGGCATAGTCTCTTTAACCCTGTGATGCCATTAAGCGGGGCAAGGCAGAATTCGCTTTATGAGGTTAGGGTCCATTCGTATTTGTGAGAATCTAGAATTAGAAGGAAAGTCATTTTTTGATAAATTAACAGAGAAGAGAAAAAGATTTAGATTTTAATAGAGAATAATATTTTAAACTTCAACGAATTTTACAAAAACGGATGTCAAAAGAAACTTTCGATTTTAGAAAGAAAGTTGATTTCCTACTCAAGGCAGACTAGATGGTCCCTCAAATACCTGTTTTAGCGCGGAATGTAACTGATAATTCGTTATAAACTGATGTCTTTATAAAAATGGGTTAAAATAGAAAACTGGATTGTTTAACATGGTTTGAACATCATCTGATTTGTAAAATATATGTTTTTTTTTTCTCTTTACTTAATTTAATACATAAATTAGTTAATTTTTGTACAAAAATATGCTTTTACAATATATCTTGGTATATAACACAGTTTGATATGAGTCGAAGAATACCCGATGTTGTTTTTTCGAAATGCTGACATAAGTAGGCATCTCGTAAGATCTGTGGGTGAATTTTGAAAGCTCATTGTATATTAATTAAATAAATATATGTTGATTTATGGGTTAAAGTTAATTGTAGAATTTGCTATTATCCAGTTTTCAGTTTTTAAGCAAGTAATCTCTATACTTCTTTTAATTTCGTCCAAAAACCTGTTAGGAACTGCGATTAGTTGATACTTAGAGGTGTATTCGCCTTGTCAGAGCAGTGTATAATTTTATGCCAGTTTGATATGCTGCTCCTCCTCTTTCTACGCCCCTCAATTCACTGATTAGATGGAAATGTGTTACTTTCCAACCATTATTTCCATAGCCATCTCCTTGATCACATAATAAGAGCTCTTTTCCTTGACGTCATCAAACTATTTCTGATTTTCCTTTAACTTAACTTTAAGAAGTGAAATATATCAGTCCGAATGTCTTAAAAGATAGACCTCCATTTTACTTGTTCCTGTCAACCTTTTTTTTTTATTAGGGGGTGAGGAAAATGGCTTCAAATAATGTAAAGATGTACACTATTCTGACAAAACTATGCAGCTTATATGTAAACAGAGCAGAAATGGCATACGTTGGATCCATTTCCGGTTGAAGTCGCTACAATTGTCAGAAATTCGAGTTTCTTTTGCGAATACCAAAAGTAAGCATAACTGTAAAAGGCTTGATTTAATATTAAGCTGTGTAAAACATTGCTGGATATACAAAGGATCACCACTTATTAGTGCCTCACTTCACCTGTCACTCCTTACTTGTAAGTGCATGTGGTTTTACAATTACGCTCGAACATTAGCTTCACGTTTAGTTCCTCTGCCGCTTATTTGTTGGCAGGTTAACTAAAACCATTATTTCCGATTTGTTTGGGCCTATTCATAATGTTTATTAGAAATTTCAAATTTCATGTTTTAAACGAAAAAATACACAAATTTACTGAGATAGCTTCACAATGCCGAACTGCAATTTTTAATCATGTTTTCATTTAAACTACGCTTTCCATATCTGACAGTAAATAATTTAAATTAATTTAAAATAAGTTTTCCATTTCGGTCTCGATTTTAGTAGTCTTACTCCTGTAAATCATACTTCTACTGACAACAGTCAAGTCATGCCGGTTCTCTATCTAACTCCGTACTCCAGAAAGTTTTGAATTAAAATCGCGTAACTTCCGATCCAGCCAGAAAAGTTCTGATATATTTAATTGTGATCTCTGGTTCCTAACCTGGTCTCGATTTTAATCTCGGGAACAGAGTATTTAACTCTGTTTCTCTCTAAGCAGCTTTTCTTCAGTAAGCACAACTCGAGACGTAGGGTCGTAAGAAATACACCCCCACACTGAACTCGTTCAGTATATAAAATTTATTTACAAAAAAGTAGACTACAGTTTATTACGGCACAACACTGTACCGATTGACACACTAACAATGAAGGATGGGTTGGAATAATCGAGAATCGAATATCTACTTGATAATTTCTATAAAGTAAATAAGCTCTATCTGCATTTTTCATCCAACCTCACCCTTCATTCGTACCTCAGCGTCTTTTCCGGAGGAGTGTAGCCTCTCTCCATAATCTCAGCGGGCTTGCCGAGTATCTGAGATGTGTGTTATCACTACCGAGCCTTATCTTACAAACTTTTTTCTCCCCAATTTAAATGTTTTTTTGGGAACCAGCTTCCGACCAGTCTAGAAAGGCGGTCGAACGCAAACCTTTCGTTTATGTCCGCGATGACCCGAATATGGGTGTCATCCTCCCATTTGTTTATTTGTTTAATTGCTGCTATTTTCATGCCATTGTAAATGGTTTTATGACGAAACCGCACCTGGGTCGAATTTAACAAGACACAAGATTGCTTTGTTTTTCTCCCAAATAAATATTTTACATCCTGTATATAAACTTGAAATAAAACATTAAATAGCTGCAATACTAATTTATTTTACGATTGTCAATGTTACAAGATTTTGTTATTGGCTTACAATTATTCTTCATTCTTTCTATTATTTTTCCTGTAAGAAAAACATTATTACTATTATTATTGATTTTTAATATTTTATATTTTAAAATTTATATTATGTAAGACACTATGTACTTGACTGTCCTCTTACTGAGGATTTCCGTCGAGGGGCTGACCAAGTCGACTGGTCTAAGCCGCCTAAACAGGTACTTCGAACGCTAGCAGCTANATTAATACTTACCTGTATCTTTTCGTGTTTGCCACGTCCCTGAATAAAATTGCAAAAATCGATCAAACATTATAGTTACATTAACAATATATAGTTTATTATTTCTAAATGCGAATGCATTTTTGTTAATTTTACACATACCGATTCTTCAATTTTCTTTAAATATTATTTATATATCATAGTATAATACTTTCTTTTCCGAACTCAAACAACCGAAATATCGCTAAACATAGTAAATAAAACAAAGTTCAAGGTACAGGAAAACAATTCTTCGAAAAAAAATTTACTTGCAATATCCATTAATCAGGAATGCTCTCATAGAATTTACCTCTATACTGTTCCTTTTGCTACGTAATAACTACACAGTTTAATGTTACAAACGTATTCAAATTGATATCCGTGACGAACATGCTGATAAATAAGGTTATTTGCCTCTCTGACTTTTCCTATACCACGCATTAAGTGAAAGCTGTTTTATCCCTATATTCTATCTGCTCCTAATTACAAGATTAGGACAACTAGTGGAGTATTTTAATGTAGCAATATTAAAATTAATAAGTATCGAAAATCTTCGAGGTGATTGCCTCCGAGGTTTAAATTCTTAAGAATTTTTTATAAGTTCTCTCTCCCAAATACGTCAGGACCTATCCTTAATCACACGATTGCCCCCATTGTGACCTGGCAATCCCATGAATGGTACGAAGAAAAACATTCTTAGTGCCCATAGAGCTGAAAACATTCTTCTTGGTAAAATTTCCTATTAGATAATTACTTCTTGCCAGTAAAAACTGCGGCAAGTCCAGTGAACACAATTAAGAACCCGACTTATAATCTACGGTATAGAGCAATTAAACTATTTCTCTATACCAATGGATAGGAACTATATTTTTGCATGAAATACTTTTCCTTTTAACTTGAGTACTTAGCACGTTTGAGAATAATGTGTTGTTAGAGCTTCATAAAGCCCTAAAAAGTAAAATGTTCAATTACTTGCCTTATACATTACAACAAACTTGTCGAGGTTTTATAGTGTAAAATATAAGCAGTAATGATATGAGCTTTGTTAAAATTAGAGTGAAATATCATTTCATATGTAAAAATTTCAGTGTAGATTATTATAAGTATTACCTATTATAAATTATATTAAAAANAGATTACTTTAAATTTTTAAAAGTAAAATCAAAAAATATATTTAAAATTGGCGTAACTTATACTCGATTTTATTTGTATATATACGGTATATTAATTAGATATTTATAAATATATAGTCTATAGCTATCGAAACAATTACAATGACGGATTCTGCTCTTTTATACATTGATAGAACTAGCAGAGATTCGGAGCTGCATGGGCTAAAAGTAAGTAGCCTTTTAATCTTTATAACGTCGGATATCTCGTCCAATTATCCCTTTCTAGTTCTGGCTACATACATGTGAAAGAAAAGGCTGTACTCAAAGGTGTAGCCTTAAAAGATAAGAAAGATGGGTGAAGGAAGGAAGGAGAGTGATTTGAAGAAAAGTTAGGAGGGTGGGATGGTTTGAGTAGTTCTGGCTACAGTAAACAAACAACGACCAATATCCAAAAATATGTCCATAGATTACAATTCTACACATTTAAAATTTTTATATACTGTTTCAAAAGTCTCTTAAGCATGTAATATATAAAAAGATGTTTTCTATAGGATAATTAAGAAATTATTTATACACAAAAAGAAATTATAAGTTAAAAATTAGTCAATTACTTACCGAACAATATGCTTCAAACTAAATTAATATGTAAAAAAATTAACATAATACAACAAAATTATATTAATTTATCGATTTGTGAATAATATAAATACTTAATAAAATATAAATTGCAGTTGAGTGAATTTATTGCACTTTTTTTTAATATTAAGTAAAGGATGAAAGTAAAGGACGTTTTCTTTTCAGAAAACAAAGTTAGATAATCTGATTATATTTTTACCTTATCCACAATTATTCTTCCGCCATCTTTACAGTCTTCAGCTGTAAGCTACAATTAAAAGAATAACATATTCTTAAATTTATATTAATGAAATTACAATATATATTATACTATATCACATATGCAAACCGAATATTCAAATTTCTTTTTAAATATTTTAATAATAATCTTACCTGAGAACTTCTTACTCTTTCTTCAAAACGTTGCTACAAAAAACGAAGCATGTATGGCATATAAAAAACTAATAATTTGACTTAAGTAATTTCACTTCAGTGCAATTATAAAGGCAATTCGTAAAAACGCTATCAAGGTTTAATCAAAACAGAAAGTGCGAGAAGTAAAAAGGCATCTGAATTCATCTAAAATATGGCCCCTCTCCTCTTCAAGAGATATAAAAATATATAAATAATGTTAATAAAAGCCCTCAAAAGACTAAATATTGGGAAGGTTCTTTGAATCAGATGCGCCAGCCAAATAGCTCTGCTACCATCTGTCTATCCAGGCTTGTATCATAATAGAAAAAATATAAATTTAATAACACCATAATATTTTAATATTGCATTTATTAATCGTGTAAATAATAAATTTGTGTTAATAATTATAATTAATACTTACCTGTATCTTTTCGTGTTTGCCACGTCCCTGAATAAAATTGCAAAAATCGATCAAACATTATAGTTACATTAACAATATATAGTTTATTATTTCTAAATGCGAATGCATTTTTGTTAATTTTACACATACCGATTCTTCAATTTTCTTTTTCCCACATGCAATAAAACCCTAAATTTAAGTAGTAAATCAATAATAATTAAGGCACAGTGTATATTGTCTTAAATAAAAATTACAAAGAACAAAATATAAAAAAAATCATAATTAATATAATCACATCTTTTAATTCCTCGCCTTCCTTTCCAGCATTCTGCTCACAACACTCTGTTATCTAAATTTTAAAAAAGTGTAATCATTTACTTATAAAAAATAAGTTAACTTTTTACTTTATATTGAGTATAACTTAAAACAATAATTAATTATTGCATTTTAAACAGCAATATAATTAAATTTATAATGTAAAAATATATTATAATATGATATAAATTTATATACAGTATTACGATCATAATGTTTTCTATTCAACCACGCTGGAAAATTGTATTGTAGTAAGACTAGATCTAACGAAGAATTTTTGCTAAAATACTTTATTTTTCTATATTTACGTACTCATAACTAAGGTTAAGAATCAAGAGTTAGAATGAAAAGTTTGTGGACGTATTAGAACTAAAGTGAATAAGTAGTTCACTTCTTACACTAACTCTTGACCCGTTGTTTTAATACGGCCGTAAGAGTGTCCGAAATACATTTTTAAAGGATAGCACCATACACAAGTAAAGTACTTTGTCAAAATAATCGCTGTCTGCTTCCTATGTTCTCAAGAAAATTCGCATTAATACATTATAAATTATAATATTAAATTTGTTTTTATACATCTGTACTTACTGTTTCTTTCACCAACTAAATAACCGTTTAATTTCAACGAAAAGGAGTACATGATGCAATACAGTATATCGACTTAACCTATCTACAGTATCTAGTAATCGCGAGAGAGAGCGAGAGAGAGAGAGAGAGAGAGAGAGAGAGAGAGTTTACAATTGTNAGTTTGTGGACGTATTAGAACTAAAGTGAATAAGTAGTTCACTTCTTACACTAACTCTTGACCCGTTGTTTTAATACGGCCGTAAGAGTGTCCGAAATACATTTTTAAAGGATAGCACCATACACAAGTAAAGTACTTTGTCAAAATAATCGCTGTCTGCTTCCTATGTTCTCAAGAAAATTCGCATTAATTCATTATAAATTATAATATTAAATTTGTTTTTATACATCTGTACTTACTGTTTCTTTCACCTTCTTTTGAATTTCTAAAAAAAAAAAAATTATTAAGCATTTATCCAATTACTTATAAACATTATCAGGTTTAATAAAGATTTTGTATTTAAAACACTACAAGATGTTATTACACAGTGTTATTTTCAAATATTTCAAAAATAAAACCATTTGTTTAAAACTATTACATTAATTAACCTATTATTAGACCTATATTATAAGTAAACTTATTGCATACCTGGTCGGCAATACCACTTATTTCCTTCTATGGATATGAAACTGATCAGAAGGAAAAGAACGAAAGGCAGAAATTTCATTTTGTAGTTACAAATTATAATTCAAACTGTTGAATGGAAATTCAAACTCTCTTTTTATATAGAAGTTTAAGGCGTGGTTTGTGTTCATTTTTTAAAACGCCATACGATAATTTTCTTCCGTTCATTTAATTATAACGTTTTTTCCTGGTATTTTGTTTAATCAACCTGTTTTGTTTCATTAATCATGTTGTTATGTAGAAACAAAAGAATTATTTTACTTTTAATTTTCTATAATTTTTACCAGTTTAAGATATTTAAATAGATATTACTATTTCTACGTGCGCTTATGATATTAAGAATATGCTAACGTAGATGTAGTGTTAAATACGAATTATTCTGTTACAGAAATTTATTAAACGTTATTTTCATTTAACGGTGTATTTTGCCAGTAGACCGATTCAGTTTTATTTGCTTTTTTTTCAAAGTATTTATTAATCTTATAGGCTTTTAATTTGCGTAGTAGAATCTTATATCATACAGAAATTTTGATTAAAATACGTAATTTTGAAATTGTCACGTCATTAAACGTTAAAAAATCTATATTGAATGGTTACGTTCTTAGTATGAAGTTATGTTTTTCTTATTATTATGTTGTATTACGTTCGAGAATTTTTCTAAATTGAAAAAGTTAAAATCGACTTCAATTGTTTAATTTTCGTGATAATTGATGGATTTATGAGACGTACATTGTCAGTAAAGTTTGTATAGCATAGGGAAGTAAAATGTCCTCACGCTATATAATATAGCTGAGCAGTGCTGAGAAAAATATACATTAAAGCATCTTTATATATTACAAGTATCCCTTGATTAACGCAATTAATTATTTATGAATTTTTAAACTTGTAGAAAATTAACGAATTATAAGTTAATAAAAGAATTAATTAGGATTTTAAAAACTGTTATATTTGTTTTCATTTTCGAGAATTTTCCGTAAAAATTTTCCATAGAAAAAGCATTATTTTTTTCCTCTATCTGCTGGAGATCGCGTGTATAACTAGAGATTAAAATCAGGCTTAAGGCTCTACGAGAATGTTTATTCATTGTGCTGATTCTCTTGCCTGGTCGCTCGAGTAAAGACATTTTTTTTAATTTTTTTTGTAAATTTACTGTTGGTTGGAAAGGAGCAAAGGCCTATTTAATGCTGCAGTTTCGGGTCTTTTCAGATCTAAATCCTTTCCTGAAGAGTAATTATTATTCTAAAATTTAATGATATTTTAGTCTAATTTATAGTTAATAATTTATATTTATTAAATAAAATTAAATTTAGATTTCAGTTTGATGGGAGATTTTATGACAGATTAAATGAAAACTTTCTTTCTCCAAAATATAATAATTTATCTATAATTTTTTAACTAAACTATTTATTAGTGAATTCTCGTATTATTGATTTTAAAATTATATATTTATTGTATTATAAATTTCTTCTTTCCATATTTAGTGAAAGATTGGTTGAAGACGTCGAGTAGCATAAACGGAACAATAAGAATAACGTGGTTCCTCCAAGAAACAGAAACATCGAAATGAGTGTAAAATCGAAATGTTACTCAAGAAAACTTGAGTTAGCAGGGCTCGAGATGTTCGAAATGTAGGTTCGATTGAAATACACCTCTACACTCAACTTGATTCAGTATATATAGTTTATTTACAGGGATTGTACGCTGCTTATCACATCACCACAATGTACATAGTGACACACTAACGATCAAGGATAGTCTTAAACAATCGGTGATCGGATGTCTTCTTAATAATTTCTAGGCCGTGGATAGACTCTGTCTGCATTTTTCATCCAACTTCAGACCTCACCCGTAGCTGAGCGTCTTTCCGGTGGAGTGTAGCCTCTCTCCCTATCCTCAGCGGGCTTCTCGACTATTTGAGATCCAAGTGTTATCAGCTCCTAGCTTTACTCTTTTCACCTTTCTTTCCACCATCTCCGTAATTTCAATGTTTTTTGGGAGCCAACTTCCGACCAATCAGGAAGCATTGGTCATTGGGAGAAGCTTTCTTTTACGTCTGTCCGACCCGAGTATGGTTGGTCATCCTCCTACTTGTTTACTTGCTTAATGATTTTCTGTAGCTGTAAGTGGTTTATAATCGGACCACACCTGAGTAAAATTTAACAAACCACAAGCTTCTCTTTCTCTTCACTTCCAAAATAATATTTTACACAAAATATAGGTAAAAAATTACATTAAAAAATTTCAAATAACCACGAAGATACCACAATAAATTAATAATAAATTACACTTTTTCTCTAATAAAAATTTTTCTCTGTAAACACTTTTGGCTCTTTAATAAAATTTTTCGAATGATTTGGCATCAAATTATTTCAAAATCACAAGAAATTGTTAACTTTTTCTTTTTATTGTTGTTTTTTAAATTAAAAATAACGCTAAATCCGGTTTATTATATTTGTTTTCGAAATATCGCACGGATTTACATCGTGCACGACAGTAGACGAGTGCGGAATTGCTAGACCTTCTTCACACGATATTTGACAGTAAAACATCTGGTGCTTAGGATCATACATGTCCATGTATGATCCCAAGCACCAGATTCCAATACTGGATCCAGAATGAGCATCGGAAGTGAAATAATTGAGTCTCTATTGGCAACAACATGTAAGATACACCTGCTCAGCAGTACAAGACTTTTATTTCCGCATGCTGTACAAACTTTAATGACAATGTTATTCAATTATCACTGAAATTAAACAATCAAAGTTAAATTAAATTTTTTTAAATTTAAAATAATAATATCTAAACGTTATACACTACGTAATTTATTTTTTTTATAATCAATATGGGTTATAAATCTTTTTCAATTAGATTTCGCTTAATAACTGGAAATTATTCGAGATCTTAATTAATATAATTAGGATACGATTAGGTTTTAATTTTACAATACAATCTATAATATAAAATATTATTATTTCTTATAATATTTTTTGCTGAAGTACTTTTACCAAGCAACGATTCAACCTCTACAGCTTACGTAGGTTATTCTTATAACATTACTGTATGATATAAGCTTCTACTATGCAAATTAAAAGCTTATAAGATTAATAATTACTTTGGAAAAAACCAAATAAAACTAAATGTTTTAAAATAAAATCGGTCTACTGGCAAAATACAATGTTAAATGAAAATAACGTTTAATAAATTTCTGTAACAGAATAATTCGTATTTAACACTACATCTACTTTAGTATATTCTTAATGGGCACGAAGAAATAATTAGGAATATCTATTTAAATATTTTAAACTGGTAAAAATTATAGAAAATTTCAAATAAAATAATTCTTTTGTTTCTACATAACAACGTGATTAATGTAACAAAACAGGTTGATTAAACAAAATACCAGGAAAAAACGTTATAATTAAATGAACGGAAAATAAATTGTCGTATGGCGTTTTTAAAAATGAACACGAACCACGCTTTAAACTTCTATATAAAAAGAAAGTCTGACTTTGCATTCAACAGTTTTAATTGTAATTTCTAACTACAAAATGAAATTTCTGCCTTTCGTTCTTTTCCTTCTGATCAGTTTCCTATCTGTAGAAGGAAATAAGTGGTTTTGCCGACCAGGTATACAATACGTTTATTTATAATACAGTTATAATAATAAGTTTATGTAATAGTTTTAAACAAATGGTTTTATTTTTAAAATGTTTGAAAATAACACTGTTTAATAAGATCTTGTTGTGTTTTATATACAAAATCTTTATTAAATCTGATAATGTGTATAAGTAATTGGATAAACGCTTAATAATTTTTTAGATATTCAGGAGAAGGCGGAAAAAAAAGTAAGTACAGATGTATAAAAACAAATTTAATATTATAATTTATAATCTATTAATGCGAATTTTCTTGAGATCACATGAACCAGAAAGCGATTATTTTGTCAAAAGTACTTTATTTGTCTGTGGTGCTATCCTTTAGAAATGCATTTCGGACACTCTTATGGCCGTATTAAAACAACGGGTCAAGAGTTTGTGTAAGAAGTAAACTACTTATTGACTTTAGTTTTAATACGTCCATGCTTATGGACAAACTTTTAATTCTAACTCTTGATTCTTAATCTTAGTTATGAGTACGTAAATTAGTCCATCAGTTGCACAGCGTTGCCAATACAAGATGTTATTAGTTTCTGAAAAAGTTGTATTATTATTTTAATTTTTTCTTCGTTAGAATCGTAAATGTATTTATTTTATTTATTATTAATTTTAATCGTTGTGTGCTCACTCTAGTTCAATACAAATGCTCGCGTTGAAGAGAAATAAATTATTATCATAACTGAGCTGCAATTTACAAATTGCAGATCTATACATTTCCTCTATCGCCCGTCCGTCCGTTTTCTTCTAATCTCAAAAAATGAGTTAAATAGATGAAAATCGAGACCAGATGTCGAAATCGTGGGGGCCGGAGGCCCTGAGTAAGTAAATATTTAGTTCTCCGGGCTGAGTCGGAAGTGTCGTAATTTTTTAAAAATTAAACGATAAATGAAAATTGCAACTCTGCATCGATTCCTCTGATGATGTCAGAATAAATAATTGCTCGTAATGTTATCTTGTAAATTCACATCATAACATTAATATCAATTTTTACATGTATAAATTTATTCAAGTTACTGCTAAGAACGGAATAATTAATTATTTTGAATTATGCTGAAAATAAAATAAAGGTTAACTTGTCCTTTATAACTAATTCGTTCAAATTTGTTTATTATTTAGATAGAAACGTGTTGCAAAGAGAATGCTGATAAGACAGACCCTGAATTTAAAGATGTAATTACATAAATAATGATTTTATTATATTTTGGTATATGTGAACTTTATAAAAGTGTGCCTCAATTATTACTAATTTACCATTTATATTTAGGAGTTTATTAAGTGCATAGAGAGTGGAACTGGTGGAATGGTATGTACAATGTTAAAAAATAATATATTCTTAATTAAAAATAATAAATTATTGGTGTAACTATTTATACAATGTTTAATCGATCTTTGCAATTTC